AGCCATTTTCATGGGGGGCCAGAGGAGACCTGGAGAAGCTGCGAGGAGCCGGGCAGTGCCTGCAGGTGTCCTTAGTAAGCTCAAACACACAGGTGTTCTGCTACGTGGGGTGCACTGGGTATCAGAGCATCACAGAGCCAGCGTCCACGGCTAGCCTGAACGGCCTGTCCTGAGTGCATGCGTGCATCGCAGGCACACGTGGACACGCGCGCATGTGTGTGCGTGTGTGCATGCAGCATGTGGGTGGACAGGCGTGTGATGAAGGCACTACAGTCCCCGGGTGGTTTCCCTCGGGCACAGGGGGATGCAGAGGGGCGGGTGGGGGCGGGCCTGCCGAGGGAGGAGGGCAGGAGGAGCCATGGTCCCGCCCACTCCGCACAGGCCGGCCTCCCACCCTCCAACGTGGCAGCGCGCTGGACGGCCCTGTTGGGACTGAGGCCCGGGGCTCCTGGGGCAGAGTCAGAGATGACAGCAATCGCATTTTCCTGACTCATCGCTCGGGCTGAGAGCCCGTGCGTGGCTTCTGGGCAGCATCTCCAAGAAGAGCTGCCTGCAGCAGTCCAGCTCGGGGGCCTGTTTTACCCCACATGGAAAGGAGACCGGGATTCAACTTTCTATCCCACGAATGTCCTCTGATTAGAAGTGAGACGCGGGAGTGCGCCCAGCCCCAGCCCACATGCCCAGAATCGCCTTCCTGTCTCCCCCAGGCCCTCCCTCAGATGTGGCACAAACACTCCGGGTTCAAATCCCTGTTCTGACCCCCATTGCTGTGTGCCCTGAACTGCAGCCTTCTCCCTGCTCCTGTTTCTTTACCTTTAAACTGGAAACATTCTAACTTAGCTGGCTAGCGAGTGTGAGCTGGTTTTGATTCTGGGATTGTGCAAGCTGAGAGCTGCTGTGCCTGGCGGAGGGGGGCCTGCCTGCCTCCCTGGGGAGGGGGGTCGCCTAGGGATGGATTCCAGCCTGGCTCCAACTCTGATTTGCTGTGTGACCATGGGCCAACCCTGCCCTTGTCTGGGCCTCGGTTTTCCTTTGCAGTTGGACTTGATGCTCTGCTTCCTGCTGCCCACACTGCAGGGTAGCTAGAAGGTTCCCAGCTGGGTGCCCCAGGGCTCCTGCAGGGAGAGAGGCTCTGGAGGAACCGGGACACAGGTCTGGGAGCTCCTCTGCACCTCAGCCGTTTCCCCCTGCCTCTTTCAAACCCAGTGCTTTTTCCACAAAGTGCAGCCTGGAATGTGGGGGAAGGGCCACCGCCTGGGCTGGGCTCAGAGCTAAGAATAATGTGGCAAAGGCTCTTGACATTTTTTTCGCTGATCCTGGGAATTTAAAGGAGCCGTTGCCTTTCTCTCCTTAGGCAGGCCGTGCTTGGAGCGCAGTAGACTGAGGCAGCCACTCCCCACGCAGAGCCTCAGTGTGCCGGACTGTGTCCTGGGGAGCTGTACAGGCACAGCAGGAGGAGGAGCAAGCCCTGCCCTTCCAAAGGCTGCGGGGGCCTCCACTGACAATGCAGGGAGGAGGCCACGTTGGGACGACAAGCAAACTTCAGGCTTCAGTCTATCAGCTGCTTAAGGGTTTGGTGGGGCTGGCAGGGGGTCTGCAGATTCAGCCCCACCCACACCTTGGCCTCAGCTTCTCTGCAGACACTGCTCTGACCTGCTGGGATCCCGGGTTTCTCTGACATCACAAGCCCCTCTGCAAAATAGGACAGTCACAGCCTGCTCATCTCCCCCTCAAGCCTAGGTGGGGCTAAGGGAGGAGGTTTGGCGTGTTGGTATCCGAACCTGCTGGAAGCCAAGGTGAAGTTCTCCCTGGCAGCTTTGACAGGCCCTACTAACCCACAGACCAAGCCACAACAAACTCCTAGGGTGTGAGGAGCTGGGTCTGGCCTGGAACCAGGCAGTGTCTTTGGATCGCAAGGACTTAGTCTCAAAAGCAATACAGCATTGAGGCAGAGAAAGCACATAGCACCCCAAAGAGATGGACACGACCCCCAAGGCCAGCAGGTTTCCTGTCTTTAAAAAGGGAACTGGGCTGCCTCCGGAGGAGGACTCCTCTATCTTGGTGGTGCCTGGTGCTTGCTGTTTCGGTTTCACAGACAGGACTTCTGTTGGAGACACCTGCCCAGCGGCCTGGAGGCTTGTGCTAGGATCCTTTGATCCTTCCACGCTGGGGCTGTAACAGGCTAAAACTCCTCAGCCAGAGCCAAAGACACCAGGGTGGCACGCATAAGATGACCATGCTCCACCAAGATCACCCCAGGGCTCAAGTGGTCTCGGGTTCTTGGGCCCTGACCCAGGGTCCCAATCTGAAGACCCTGAGCAGCAGGGTAAACCAAGACTGAGAAGTTAGTCGCTGCCATCAGATCCAGTGGCCAGAGAGCCCCTTCCCAGCCTCCCCACTCCCTGAGCCAGGGACTCGGGTCATTGGCTGGGTGCTGGGGTTGACTCACTCCTCCGATCATGTATGCATCTGGGAGAAAGAAGACAGCTCAGTTTGTTGATTGAATGAATGAGTAAGTAGTTGGGTCTCTCCACCCTTTCTGTCCTCTCCATCTGCCCCTCTGCTGTCTCTCACTTCACTACTGAAGAAGAGGGAGGATGTGAGGGTGTCCTACCCAGCCTGCTGAGCTCCTTGGTAACACACACCCACCCCTGGAGTGCAAATCCTTGAGGGCAGGCGCTCTGTCCAGTTAGCACCTGGAACAGCAGTGGACACCTGGCCTAATTCAGGGCTCAAGGCCTTGACAGTGGCGGGAGGGTGGGGTAGGAAGAGTTTATGGTGAGACCTGGAGCCTGTGGGAGGGGACCCAGACATGTAGGGGACAGGGATGACCCAGGAGAGAGAGATGGGACAGAAGCGAGGAATGACAGCATCACACTTCTTTTTTCTTTTTTAGATTTATTAATTTATGTGAAAGAGAGAGAGAGATCTTCCATCTGCTGGTTCATTCCCCAAATGGGTACAATGGCCAGGGCTGGGCCAGGCTGAAACCAGGAGCCAGGAGCTTCATCTGAGTGACAGGGGCCTAAATAGTTGGGCCGGCTCCTGCTGCTTCTCCCAGGCCATTAGCGGGGGAGCTGGATGGTAAGTGGAACAGCTGAGACACAAACCCATGCCCATATAGGAATTCACATTTCACAGTCAGGGTAACTGAGGCCCAGAAAAGGCAGGCAACCTGCTTAGCGTCACACAGCACAGCACCGAAGGGCCAGGGTTGCCCTTTCTGTTCTGCTCTCCAAGCCCAGCCCCCCGCGTGTCGTCTCTACTCCAACGGACCTGCACTTCCAAGGGCAAGGGTCGGGTACTGGACCCGCACAGAGAGAGCGCTCTCTCCCCTCTGGGCGGGCACTGAAGGTCCTTGGAGGTTGAGGGTTTTAGGGTGAACCCTGGATGGGGAAAGCATCCTGACAGCGGGGGCGCATGAGGGCACTTAGGAAGGGGGATGGGTCCTCTCCTGGGCAGAGCCGCTGCAGGGGACCGGGTGCTGGGAGAAAGGTGCAGCCAGGGGGAGAGCGCGGGCTGGGTCCGAGGCCCGCTGTCTTCTCGGTCCGCAGGATCCCGGGGGTTCCGAGGCTCCGCCGGGGCCTGAGCCCCGCAGCGCAGGATAAGGGGGGCAGTAGGACCCAGGGCTGGAGGGGCGGGAGCCAGGGCGGTTTGGGGGAGGTCTTTGCAGTTTTTTTGGCGGAGCGGGGCGCCCTCCGGAAGCGTTTCCAACTTTCCAGAAGTTTCTCGGGACGGGCCGCAGGGGGAGGGGAGCTCCATAAATAGGCCGGGCGCTGGGGGCGGGCGGAGAGCAGGCTCGGCCGCGGCGCGACAGCGGCTTCGTCCCGAGCAGCCCAGCCCGCCAGGTGAGCGGCGGCGCCGCCGGGGCGCGGGGCATCTGCGGGGAGGGGCGCTGCCCAGGGGCGGCTGGGGGCCCTGGCACTGTGGGGGCAGCAGGGAGTGCGGGTGAGCCGGTGATGGAGCGAGCTTTCGGGCCAGGGCAGCGGTGTGCGCGGAGGATGTGGAGACGGTGTGCGACCCCGCGAGGTGGGGGCGGAGGTGGTGGTGACCGGCGGGCCCGCGGCAGACGCGAGGGCGGAGCCGCTGGGTCTGGGGGTTCCGCTTCGTTGGGGGGCAGGCCAGCGGTGCGGTTGGAGGTGCCGGCAGCTTTGGGGTGAACCTCCTAAAGGGAAGGTGGCAGGCAAGGAGGGGATGTCAGGGCCTTGGCTTTTCCTGGGCTGGGGGGTGCTGCCTCTTGGGTCCGAGTCACCGAGGGTGTAGATGATGGCAGCTAAAGGAGGCCCTTGGCGCCCGCCCCTCAACCAAAGGGGGTGCGGAGGCCGGCAGGACAGGTTTCCGTGCCCACCCTCCGCTGTGCACTGGCGCCGGGTCCCCGGAGGCCATGCAGGGTCCAGGCACTAGCGGGGCTCCCTGCCCCCCAGCTTAGCATTCGAAGGCGTCTGGGACAGCGGAGGAGGGGGTTGACGTCGCTTCCAGCCTGGCTGGCCGCCTGGCCCCTCCTCTTCCCCGGTTTCCTGTGGGTCCCTCTGAGCTGCAGGGCCCGGATGGAGGCCTGCGGGACGTCAGGGGGCTTCGGAGGCCTGGAAGTCTGGCTGGGGCCACACCCAGCAGTCCTCAGTGGTCAGGGACCCTTCCCCCCTTCCTGTGCCCTCTTTGTCTCTGGTCACCGGGATTCCCAGAGCTGTCCCTGCTGCCTTGTAACCCGACACCACGGGCCGGCCTGGGAGGGCGGAGGGCTCTGTGTGCTTCTGACAGGAAGGATCCCTGAGCCACCCGACCCCCCCTCACCCCTGGGGACCTGGGCCCCCTGGGCACGTGGGCAGCTCCCTGCCCTGGCCTCAGTGAGGTGGCCGGGCTGCAGGGTCCCTGTGGACCTGGGACCAATGTGTCCCGCTGTGCCAGGGGCAGTGGAGTGCCCTCTGGGGCAGTCCCCTCTGCCGGATCCCACCCTCTTCATTCTTCTGTTTTCTTTCAGAATGAAAAAGGCAGGCATTGACCTCCCTCTGGGGCAGTTTCCAGGTACTTTAGACCCTCTGGTGGTTCCCCAGTGGCTCCTCCCTTTCCCCTTTATGAAATCCCTGAATCCGGTCCCAACCTGGTCCCACCAGCTGAGGACGGATTTGCGGGCCGCGTGAGCTCCTGTGCTTCTCTGTGGGTCTGTACGAGGTCTGCCCTGGGCCGCCGGGCCTGGCCTGGCTGGCTGGCTTGCAGTAATTTGCCTTCCTCCATTCCTGCTGCCCAGTGGAACAGGGCAGCCTGCTGCCCAGTGGAACAGGGCAGCCTCTCGCCCAGCCACGCATCTCCTTAGGGAGATCCATGTGCAGATGCCAAACTGGGACGGAAACCCAGACCTCCTGCTTCCCTGGCTGGAAACCCCCCTCTGCCGGCCGTGGGAGACAATTCAGCCTCCTGCCTGCCACGTCACCGTCGCTGCAGCGCGGGAGCTGCGTGGCCGCCCGAGGAATCCCAAACCACTCATTTGGAGCTTTTCTTGAGAAGCCCCTCCCAGTCTTTGAGGTTCTGGTTGGCTGGGGGTGGGGGCGGTCACGAAGCTGCCTGCCACGTGGCAGGGCTGGGAGCTGGGCTCCTGGGCCTCCGCGGACGAGGGGGATGCTGGTGCTGCTTGGACGAGCGGTGGCCTTTGAGAAGGGTGACCACGTGCCTGTGGTCCTGGCATAATAATCAGCAATGCTCCCTGTTCTGCAGCTGAGTCCTCGCTTGTGCATTGAGTGATGGGGTCACTCTGCCTTGGAGGCTGCCGGCCTGGTGGGCAAGGCCAGGGCTGGCAGGGAGGAGGCCTGGGGCCTGTGTGGGCCCTGCCTGAGATCTCTGCTGGCCGCCACTTGTCCTTCAAAACAAGGCTCTGTGCTCTCTCTCAGGCCCCGTGGGTCCCAAAAGCCCACTCCTCTGTTCTCTTCTCTCTCCTGGGACCCTTAGCTTTTCCTCTCCGTTGTACACTCAAGGCCCCAAGGACAGTGGCAGCCAGGGAGGTGGGGAGTACCTGCCTGGGTGTCGAGGTGGGCAGCAATAGAATCTTCCAGAAGTGCAGGCAGGCCTGAGTCCAGGCCTGCAGAATGTCCCTGTTCCTTGAGGAGAAGCCCAGGGCAGAGGGGAAGCCAGAAGCAGAGGGGAAGCCAGAAGCAGAGGGGCAGTGGCCTGCTTGGGGGGGGGGGTTGTGTGTGGAGACTGACTGGAGGCCCCAGAGGGCACTGTTTCTTGTCCTGGGGGCTCTGGGGAGGCTGGCCGAGGGTAGCCCTGGAGCCTCGGAGCGGATGGCCTATGTGGCACTGGCTGTCAGGTGGGCGGGCGGGCAGAGTGGGGCCTCCGGCTTCCTGGAGGGTGGACAGGCTGCTCCGCTGAGCTGTGACTCACCCCCTCCCTGGGGTCCTGTTCTTGCTGCTTTCTCAGGAGGCCCCTCATTTCCCTCTGGTCCAGGCACTGTGGGCAGACGGGCGGGCAAGTCTTTGTCAAGCTAGAAGCCCTGGACCCTTGCAGCTTGGACAAGGGAGACGGAGGCTGGGTGAACAACCCCCCCCCACCCCCAAGGCCACCCTGGGGCAGCGGAGTAGGGCATCTGGGCTCCCACATTTAATGAGTGAACCAGCCAGTGACTCATTAACACCCCGGGTAGGAATGAAAGACATGCACCTGGGCGGGGCCGCCCTTTGTCCAGACCCCTGGGTTTCCCCGCAGACCCCCGCCTGGCTGCTGCTGCTGCTTACTGGTTAGGTCCCCTAGGACTGGGTGAGGGCAGAGCTGATCTGTAGTCAAACGGACGAACAACTGCCGGTCTAGCCGAGTGGTCCTGTGTCACATTCTTGTCATGTGTGGGGCGCTGGGGATGGAGCTGGTTTCCTACCCCCCCACACGGCGGGGGGCACAACCCACTCAGGTGTCAGTAGGCTTGAATGCTAAGTCCAGACAGAAAATTGGTAGGGACCTCTGGTGGTGACTTTGGATAAGGAGGTCAAAGACAACCTCCGAGGTGCCGGCAGCCCTGAGTCAGGTCTGGGTGCACTCCCTTCCATCTCTAAGGGACTTGGTGGCTGGACCACGGCTGGGGGTGGTTGCTGGGGAGGAGAGCCCAGGGCTTCAGGGCGCCCTCTCTCTGCAGGTCCCCCGCAGCCCACGCAGTCCACGCCCGCCTCCCAGCCATGCGCTCCATCCAGCTCCTCAGCGCCTTCTGCCTCCTGGCGGTGGCCCTGGCGGCCGAGGTGAAGAAGCCCGCGGCGGCGGCAGCACCCGGCACCGCGGAGAAGCTGAGCCCCAAGGCGACCACGCTGGCCGAGCGCAGCGCCAACCTGGCCTTCAGCCTGTACCAGGCCATGGCCAAGGACCAGGCGGTGGAGAACATCCTGCTGTCGCCCGTGGTGGTGGCCTCCTCTCTGGGGCTCGTATAGCAGGGCGGCAAGGCGGCCACGGCGTCGCAGGCCAAGGCGGTGCTGAGCGCCGAGCAGCTGCGCGATGAGGAGGTGCACGCGGGCCTGGGCGAGCTGCTGCGCTCCCTGAGCAACTCCACGGCGCGCAACGTGACCTGGAAGCTGGGCAGCCGCCTGTACGGGCCCAGCTCGGTGAGCTTCGCCGACGACTTCGTGCGCAGCAGCAAGCAGCACTACAACTGCGAGCACTCCAAGATCAACTTCCGCGACAAGCGCAGCGCCCTGCAGTCCATCAACGAGTGGGCGGCGCAGACCACCGACGGCAAGCTGCCCGAGGTCACCAAGGACGTGGAGCGCACGGACGGCGCGCTGCTCGTCAACGCCATGTTCTTCAAGCGTGAGTCGGGGGCGGGGCGGCAAGCTTTATCGCAACCTGCGCCAAGCCCACCCCTCCCAGTTAGATTCAGCGGGGCGTGGCCTCGCCCTTAAAGGAATGGCGCAGGAACCCCCCTCGGAGGGAGGGAAGGGAGCAGATGTACTTAATGGAACCCAAGTGCCAGTGCTGTGTGTGTGGGATTCAATACAGTCCACTGAGGGAGCTGGGAAAACGACCCTAACCCTTAAAGCAAGGCTGGGGGCGGGCCTTGTTGGCCCCATTCACAGGTGAGGAGCCTGGGCTGCAGGGGCGGGGGGCTGTGGCCCTCTGACCCCTGTGTTCTGCTCCCTGCACAGCACACTGGGATGAGAAGTTCCACCACAAGATGGTGGACAACCGCGGCTTCATGGTGACCCGTTCCTACACCGTGGGTGTCACGATGATGCACCGGACAGGTGAGTGCCCTGTGGAGCAGGGCTCAGGGCGCTTGGGGGCTGGCTGTGCCCGCCCGCCCGCCCCAGTGTACCCAGACTCCCCTTTGCTCTCCTCTTAGGCCTCTACAACTACTACGACGACGAGAAGGAGAAGCTGCAGATGGTGGAGATGCCCTTGGCCCACAAGCTGTCCAGCCTCATCATCATCATGCCCCACCACGTGGAGCCGCTCGAGCGCCTGGAGAAGCTGCTGACCAAAGAGCAGCTGAAGACCTGGATGGGGAAGATGCAGAAGAAGGCAGTGGCCATCTCCCTGCCCAAGGGCGTGGTGGAGGTGACCCATGACCTGCAGGTGAGGGCTGGCCCGGCTCCCAGGCCTTCCGGGGCGCCCATTGCACAGCTGAGCAGGTGTCTCCTGAGTCCCTTGTCATGTCCAGGCAGCACTGCCCTGGGCTGTGGGGGAAGCTCTGCCCACCACCCTCCCCTAGGAAGGCGATGCTGGCCGCTCAGTGTGGCCAAACAGTGTCCGGACGTCAGGTGCTCTGCTCAGCACTTTATGCGCGCATTGAACTCTCAGCCCTCAAGATGGCTTTACGGGCAGGACTGTGAGCTTTATCTTGCAGGCGAGGAAACAGGCTCAGAAAGGTTTAGTAACCCGTCCAAGAGCACACAGCCAGCAGTCGGCACTTCCTGCAGCAGGCCAGCCCTTAAGTTCCTGTGCTGCCTCTCTGGCTGTGAAAGGCTCCCAGGCCCAGACCGGCCGAGCTGGAGGCTTCTGCACGGTGCAGGGGTGAGGCTGATGACGTGGTCGCTCAGCAAGGCCCCAGGGGTAACACACGAGCTCACAGGTGTGGGCAGGGGCTGCAGAGGTCCCCCTGACGCATGAGACCCCACTTAGACCACACGGTGAAGACCGAGGTGGCCTTTGTGTGTGGAGGGAGAGAGAAGTTTCTGACCTACTCTAAAGAAGAAACTTCCTTCTTGCTCTGCCTCGGGTGCCGGAAACGGTTCCATGGTGGGCTTCTGTCTACCGCTGATTTGCTCTTGATTCAGATTTGCTGTTGAGAGAACTTGGAGAGATGAGACGAAGTGGGGTAGCTCCAAGCCTGGAGCTGGCGCTGGTATGGGCTCAGGACACACAGCTTGTGGGGAGAAGCCTTGTCTCCTACCCCAGCCTGGCCCCGGCTCCTCACCCCCACCTCTGCCCTTCCACCTGCCAATCTGGGGGGTGGACTGAACTGGAAGCTTGAAGTGGGCTTGTCAGGTCACTGGGTGGAACATTGGGGCCCACTTGGAATGCCTGTCGCAGGACTCCCAGGGTCTCAGCACCGCATGCCTAGCACCTGCCCGGCCGAGTCTCCTGCAGAGACCCTGGGGACTGCAGTTCACCCAGCCGACTCTCCCTGATGTCCCTTCTGCACTGAGAGCCAGAGAGAGGCCTGGCTGTGGGCCCTGCGCTCCGAGAGTGCAGAGCCAGGCGGGCAGGGCACACTGGACAGAACTGAGTCCAGGGCCGCTGAGACCCGGGGAGGCGGCCTCATGTGCGCGACCCTTAGAGGGGGCACCTCTGTTCTGCTGCTCTGGTCTAAAGAAAGGCACAGGTGACAGACCTTGCTGCGTGGGCTTTTGCTTTTTATTTTTATTTTTTTTTAACATAGCTATAAATTTTATTTATTTGAAAGGCAAAGAGAGAGAGAAATTTCCCATTCACTGATTTAGTTTTCAAATGTCTGCAACAGCTGGGGCTGAGCCTGACTGAAGCCAGGAGCCTGGGTCTCCATCCGGGTCTCTGGGCAGGTTTTAAGCCCCGAGAGAGACGTGGACGTAGCTGTCCTGGGACCAGTCTTTCTCCCACTGGAGTGTGCCAAGAATCACCTGGGGAGTGTTTTTCTCTTTTCTTTCTTTCTTTTTTTTTTTTAGCTTGATTTATTTATTTGAAAGTCAAAGTTACAGAGGGAGGGAGAGAGAGCTAGGCCAGTCTGAAGCCAGGAGCCAGGAGCTTCTTCCAAGTCTCCCGTGTGTGCAGGGGCCCGAGCACCTGGGCCATCTTCTGCTTTCCCAGGTGCATTAGCAGGGAGCTGAATTGGAAGTAGAGCCCCTGGGACTTGAACTGGCGCCCATATGGGATGCCGGCACTGCAGGCGGTAGCTTAACCCACTGCGGCACAGCGTCGGCCCCTGGGCAGTGTTTTAGGAAGGCTCTGGGCTCACCCCGGGGATTCTGACCCAGTGGGTCCCGGGCAGGTGTCAGGGAACTGGCATTTCAGATAAGCCATGGGAGGCGCACACTTGGGAATGCTCCTGTCAAGGCTGCCGGGCAGTGCCAGGGATAAATACTGACTTTTTCTGAGTTTCCGTCTCCTCTCGGAGTGGGCTGGGGAAACCCTCGTGGGGCTCTAGTGGGACTTAAGGCCGGGCTGTGGGGAGCTCAGGGTGGTGAGGGAGTGGCAGTCGCCTGCAGCGTGGCCTCACCAACACTCGCTTGGTCCCCCAGAAACACCTGGCCGGGCTAGGCCTGACCGAGGCCATGGACAAGAACAAGGCGGACCTGTCGCGCATGTCGGGCAAGAAGGACCTGTACCTGGCCAGCGTGTTCCACGCCACCGCCTTCGAGTGGGACACGGACGGCAACCCCTTCGACCAGGACATCTACGGGCGCGAGGAGCTGCGCAGCCCCAAGCTCTTCTACGCCGACCACCCCTTCATCTTCCTGGTGCGCGACGCCCAGAGCGGCTCCCTGCTCTTCATCGGGCGCCTGGTCCGGCCCAAGGGCGACAAGATGCGGGACGAGTTGTAGGGCCCCCGGGTGGGCACGGGGTGGCAGGAGACGGCCACAGGCTCCTGAGACACATGGGTGCTACTGGGGGGGTGGGCAGGGAGGGCCCAGCCTTGGGTGGTCCACGGGGTGGGGGTGGGAAGACAGAGACCCAGTTCCCTGCTGGAATTCCCTACGCTTGGCCACGGCCCCCAGATGCCACGGTGAGAGCCCTCCCGCCCTGCCCCCTGAGTCGTGGCTAAACCTGCCTCCATCAGTGTTCATATTTATGGCCATGAACCGCCTCACCTGTGAGGGCACACGGAGCCACGGTCCAGCCGGGCCCCTGCCCCTGCCCCACCACCCCTCCCCGGCTCCCCCCACCTCTCCCGCTGTCCTCAACTCAACAGTAGGTGCTGCAGCTGCCAGCAGTGGCCCTGGCCCCAGGGAGGGGATGGGGACACAGCCCATAGGAGGGGCCCTGGGCAGGCTCTGGCTTCATGGGGAACGAACTTTTGGGGTCATTTTGTGTGGGTTTTTTTTTTTTTTTTTTAGTGTTTCAAAGAGGGGGAGGGAAGGGGGGACACAAGCCTTTCTTGCTGTCAGACCAAGAACTTATTTGTACAAGTGTTTTTCAATAAAACTTTTCCAAGGAGATTTTGTTGGCGCGTGGGAGACTGGGGCAGATGTCCACGTCAGTCCGCCCTGAGGTCTCCAGAGCTGGCAGAAACTGGCCCCGGGGCACGACTGGCTGGGAGAGGTGGCTGCAGGCCCTGACCTGCAGTGCTGGACCCGGCGGGCCCAGGGCCCGGGTGTCTGTGTCCTCGCTCCCTGCAAGCTGGCCTTAGTCCGTATCCAGGGCCGGGTGCTGGCCCAGGCACACACCGAGCAGCGGCCAGAGCATGGGCTGGCTCCAACCAAGTCCTTGGGCCCCCCATGGGCATCCTCGTTCTCGTGTGGCCCACATGTTGGGTTTGGAGCAGGGAAGAGGAGGCACCCGATGGAACTCCTTGTGACACAGTTCTTGTGCCAGCCGCCTCTCACGGTGCCCAGGGCTCCTCAGGGCGGGAGAGGACAAGCAGGACAGGGCACCAGTGGCCAGGGAGGCAGAGGAAAGGGTCGAGCCCCGGCTCTTTTGCTGGCCGTGTGGCCTCGGGCAGGTTCCTCCCTCTCCCTGGGTGCCTCTCTAGAGAGCCTCTCTAGCTATCTCTGCCATGGGGGTTACTGGTCCAGGGAGGGCCCCGGGCAAGTTCGGAGGAGTCCACTTAGTTGTGAACGGGACAGCAGAAGGGCCGGTGGATTCCCTCCCATGGAGCATTAATCAAATTGTCCAGAGCCGCAGGCCTGTCCTTTATTGCGGGCTCAGTAAAGCAGCTCCGTGCCCTTGGGCTTTATCTAGAGGTGGAGACGGTGAGGGAGGGTTTGCCCTGGGCTCGCGGGGTGCCAGCCACCTGGATCGTCCTAGTCCTAGCTGGCCAGGCTTGCTCCCCTGCCTTCGGGCCTTTGTACCAGCTGTGCCTTCTGTCCAGCGGGTGGTTCTGCTAGACCTCTGCAGGGCCACTTTCGGTCAGCCAGAGCTTAGTGCAGTCACCCATGGACTGACTATACCCCACCTAGAATGGGAGCTGTGCAGGAAGGGGGGCCGTGTTTTGTCAGCGCCTGGTGTCCTGCACCCAGATTCAGCCTCCCACGTGTGCGAGCTGAGTCAGAGGAAGGGCTGAGGGCCCCAGGGCTTTGGGACGCAGAGGAGGAAGTCATGACTGTAGGCTTCCAGGAGGAGGCTGTGCGGGCTGCCTTGAAGGGAAAGTAGGCACTTCTTGATGAGGGCAATTGTTTTTTAGTGATACCATACAGCACTTCTGTGTTTTGCTTCTCCCATGTGCCAAATACATACATACAATTTTATCCAAGCCACCAAACAGCTTGACTAGCACGGGATTATCCCATTTTACAGGTGAAATGGCTGAGGCTGGGTTTTTTGTTTTTTAAAGATGTTTATTTATTCTCATCTACTTGAAAGCTGAGAGAATGCATTTCCATCCACTGGTTCACTCCTCAGATCCCTGAAAGCCAGGAACCTGGAATTCCATCCAGGCAGGTCTCCCATCTGGATAACAGGGGCTGAAGCACTTGGGCCCTCACCTGCTGCCTCCAGGATGCGTCAGCAGGGAGCTGGATTAGAAGCAGAGAAGCTAGAACTCTAACCAGCACTCTGATAGGAGAAGCAGGCGTCCCAGGTGGCGGCTTCACCTGTGCCACAACGCCCACGCCTGACCCTGGGGCTTGCTGCTCCTCCACGCCCCACAGGAAGGCAGGACAGGAACTGAGCAGATTCCGGTAATAAAGGCTTGTAGCCTGCGTACACTCTACATTCAGCCCAGGGCATGCCCACCTACCAGAGAGAGGTGAGCGCCCTGAGCCCCCATCCCGCATCCCGGGCAACCTGTAGTGGGGTCTGGAGTTGCTGGTGTGAGGGTGGCAGAGAAGAGCAGACTAGAGGTGGTGCGGAGCCAGAGATTGGTCCAGCCAGTCAACACCCTCTAGGCACATCAGCACCCTGCGTGGATCTTTCCTGCCACCTAGTGGCCATTGTGGGGATCACCCTGTTATTCCCCCGCTGGTGCTTGTGAGGGTCTGAGAGAAAGGAGGAACCTGCTGAATTCTGAGCGCCCCACGTTGCGGGTGCAGGTTGGGGTGCAGTGGTGCTCAGTAGCACAGGCGCTGGAGCCTGGTGCACCTGCTGGGAGTCCCGGATCAGTTACGGCCTGACTCTGTGGCCGTGGGCCAGGGACAGCCACTCTGAGCTTCAGCAGTGAGACGGAAATGACGCTGGTACTCCCCTCATAAGGTTGTGTGATGTTACGTGTGGTCACCCGTGGGAAAAGGCAAATAGGCGGCCTTAAATATTAGCCACTAATACGAGAAGGCAGTAACTTGAGACCGTACAGCAGGGCTGGGACTTGAACCCACGGCTCTGTGATACAAGGTCACAGGGCCTCAGTGGCAGGCTGGGCTGCAGTGGCCAGGAGACTCCTGGCAGCAGGGGCAAAGGGGAAAGAGGGGTCCAGAGCACAGGGACAGCTGGGCAGGTGTGGCAGCTGGGATGGGCAGAGGGAGCTGGGGCGGCCTGCCCCAGGGAGGGGTAAACTGCTCTGAGGAGAGCAGGGCCTGGTGGAGACCCCAGGAGGGGACCCAGGGCAGGCGGTCATGGCCCCTCAGCCCCTCCAATGTCCCCAACCTGCTTTCCTGCCACTGCCTGCCCCTGCAGCCCCCTTGGGAGTCCCCTCCTCCCTGCTTTGCTCTGCCCCGTGTCTCCCCTGCCTGTCTCACAGGTCATGACCTCCCCAGGGAGGCTCTGGGCCCCTGGGCCCAGCACTCTGCCAAGGGGGCTCTGAGTGCTGTGGGTGCGAAAGCCTCGTGCTGGGAGGACGCTCCGGCCTTCACTCCTCCTGCCGCCATCTTCCTCCCTTCTTGGTGAGGCCTGAGTGCGTCTGCCCGGCTCCAGCGAACTTCAGCATTTGCGGAGCTGGTTGACTGGAACCTGGGTTTAATCAAGGCCTACGTTGATTGAAGTCAAAATGCTGGGATTCTTGACTTTGCTTTAGAAGGAATCCAAAGGAGGGGCACGGGGGATGCCACACAGATCCACTCCTGCACCCCCTCCCCTTCCTCCCCTCCTCCTCCACTTCCACCTCTTCTTCAAGATATTTGTTTGAAAGATAGAGTTAGAGAAAAGGGAGAGAGAGAGAGAGAGACAGACAGACAGACAGACTGATTTTCCATACATTAATTCATTTCCCAAATGGCCATAATAGCCAGGCCTGGGGCCAGGCTGCAGCCAGGAGCCAAGAGCTTCCTCCAGGTCTCCCATGTGGGTGCAGGGGTGCAAGCACTTGGGCCATCTTCTACTGCTTTCCCAGCAGAGAGCTGGATTGGAAGTAGAGAAGTTGAGACTCAAACCGGCACCCATATGGGACACTGGCATTGCAGGTGGTGGCTTTATCCACTACGCCACAGAGACAGCCCTCTTTTTTTTTAATTAATTAATTAATTAATTAGACAGATAGAGTTACAGACAATGAGAGAGACAGAGAGAAATGTCATCCTTCCATTGGTTCACTCCCCAAATGGCCCCAACAGCTGGAGCTACACAGATCTGAAGCCAGGAGCCAGGAGCCAGGTGCTTCCTCCTGGTCTCCCATGCAGGTGCAGGGCCCAAAGACCTGGGCCACCCTCCACTGCCCTCCTGGGCCACGGCAGAGAGCTGGACTGGAAGAGGAGCAACCGAGACTAGAATCCGGCACCCATATGGGATGCCGGTGCTGCAGGAGGAGGATTAACCTAGTGCGCCACTGCATAGCTCCCTCTTATAGAGCTTGCAAGACCCTCTGTTCACAGAGGCACCCAGAAGTAAGGAGTACCAGGGGAGCAGAGCAAGTCAGGGCACTGGACTACCCTGGAAGGCAGGCCTCAAGTGGGAGGCAGCGTGGCCTGGCCCATGGGGTCCTTAGCAAAGGTTTGACTGAATGGGGGCCAACGGGAGCAGTGGACCCCAGCTTGGGCAGCTCCGTCTCTGCAACCGGCACAGCAAGGAAGAGCCGAACACAAAGCAAACCCTTAGGGCTGGCAATGAGAGGCCTGACTTCAGTCACCATGGGAGGGATGTCAATCTCTCACCCAAAGTCCCTGGAAGGTCAGGGAGGCCAGGACCTGCACAGATACACGCTCTGGTCTTCCACCGAGGCTTCCCCGCCGATGGCCTGGGCCACTTGCCTGAGCACCCTGGCCTGGGGCTGGGCACCCTGTGAGTCCACCCCAGCCAGCTGCCGGGGACACAGGTGCCATGGGGTGGAGGCACGCTGGTCAGATGGTGATAGGACTTCTGACCCAAGCCCAGGTGCCGGGAGCCCACTGGGACGCTGGTTCATCCTGTGATTAGGGTCTTAGTTTCCAAGTATGTGACCGGGACTTATGGGCAGAACCCTCACGTTAGCTCTGGGTCTTGCCTTTTGTACCAGAATAATAAACCAACAGGAAAGCCGTGACTCTGAGCTGGTGGAGGTGTGCTGCCATCAAGGACTTGAAAGATGCAGGTGCGGCTTTTACCGGCGTGTCTGCGCAGGGGAGCGAAATCCCTAAGGAAACTGCTCCCTCAGCGCCCGCCTGGGTGTTCAGCGCCCCGAGGGACCCTCAGAATCTGCGGCACCGTGCTGTGCTCTCTGTGCCTTGCTGGTGAGAAGACCAAGCACGACACTTGTTGGGCTTGGGAAGGTTTTGGGGGCCGTATACGTCGCGTTTTGGGGTGCTGTTTGGGCGCATCTGCAGACTGGCAGCTCTCAGCGGGGCTTCCAGGCGGCCCAGCTGAAGGCCAGCAGCTCTGCCTGTTGCCAGCCCTGAGGGCCCAATGAGCCCAAAGGCAACTCAGGTGTGCACAGCAGGTGGGAGGCTGGGCTTGGGCCCATGGCAACCCCTGACAGGAGGTGCAATGTGGGCAGGTGCCTAGGATATGCAAGCAAGGCAGGGCGCTCCCTGGCCAGCACTTTTCCTCCTTTTAAGGAAGGGCTGTTAGCTCTGGGCTGGGCCGAGCTGAGAACGGGCCTGTGTGGGAGGCACCAGGGACCAAGAATGTAATTAGCGGAGCCACAGTTCATTCTCCATTCTTAGTGGACTTGCTCCAGGATTGCTGGATGGGCCGGCGTGAGTCACTCCCAGGCTATGAAAACACGAATCTCTCCCCTTCCTATGCCCCCTTTGCTGGAATCGGGCCGTGGTGCCCGCTACCCCAGAGCTGGAGGTCACCCCGATCATTCTTGTTCTCTTTATGACTACTGCAATGAGGATTTTAAAACATTGACTTTAGAAATACAAAACAACAACAACAAAAAATCTCCAGCCGACATGGACGCTGGGAGAGTGCTGTGGTGAACTTGCTCACGGCCCTCGCTCGGCCTCAGCGGGCAGCCGCGTGCGTCCACTTGGCTCAGGGACAGCTCTAAGCCATCTCATCGGAAAGCACTTCCGGCCGTTCTCCTTAGACTCCTCTGCTGCTTCGTGGCGGCTCCGCTGGGACCTCCTTCCTCCGCCTGTCCCCCCAGGGTTGGGCTCTGCCCGGGTCCTCCACCTGTCACTCTCCACACCCTCTCTGGGGAAGCTCACCCTTGCTCCAGGCCTCTCGCACCCTCTAGGCTGGTGAGGTCCAGACGCCTCTCCCAGGCTCAGCCCACCGCGTCCCACAGCCTTTCCCTGCTGCCGCATGGCCGTGTCCCACTCACCACGCACCAAACCCACCTCATCCTCCTGCCCAAGCCAGTCGTTTCCTGCATGTCCGTTCACCCTCAGCAGCTACGTTTTAGCCCCCTGTTGGGTGGGTGAGAAAAAAACTCTGTGCTGTAGAATAAGCAGAAGTGGCTGCTGTCATGACGAAGCCCATCACAGGTGCTGGTGAGAAGGTGCGGACGCCACTGCGGGGATGTGCGTGCTGCAGCCCTGGCCACCCAAGTCCAGGACCAAGCCAGGGCCAGTGGTGACCGGACGGCCCCAAGGTGCAGGCCGAGGGGAGGGAAAGGGCCAGGAGCTGGGGGCTGGGTTGCAGGGCTTCTGAGGGAATGGCCAGGTGAGGATGGCCATGGGGATGTCTGGGCAAAGCTGGCATAAATATGGCAACCTAGGTGGGCTCCTGGGCTCCCAGCCAAGCCCCTGGGGTGCAGGGAGTGGCACCCACAGCGCCACACTGGTTGGGCCCGGGAGAGCCACAGCGATGACCTGTGTATGTCTTCTGAGGACGGCCGAAGCCTCCTGGAGTTGTGACCCACTCCGGAAGCAGGGTGAGGCCCTGGGAACATGACTAATGCCAGGTTTCCTGCCAACCCTGGCAAGGAGAAGCCAAGGGCTTCTAACCAGAGTAAAGAAACGTGCCGTTCCTTACCTCCTGGGTGCTGTGGTTTGTGCACCGATTTACCACTTGGGCCATGTGTGAGGCGGAGAGGCTGGGGAGAGGCGGAGAGAGAGAAAGAGAGAGAGAGAGAGAGAGAGAGAGAGAAAGTGGGCAGATTCACAGGTCTTGTGGGTGGAGTGCGCCCCTCACCCGACGCTCTGCGACGGACCCCACCTCTCCCCCACCCACACGGGCCCAGGTGGCCAGGAGGGCCTCGCAGGATGAGCAAGGGAGTAACCGGGCGCCTTTGCCCAGCCCTCCCCCGGGGTCTCCAGGGACCCGCCTTCCCGTGGGTGGTGGACAGCGAGCACCCCCAGCCTGTCCCGCCCGCCTCCGAGGAGATGGGGGAGCCCACAGGAAGTGTGGGGACGCCGGTGCCCCTGAGAGGCTGGGGAATGGCGGCCGCGGAGAGAACCAGGCACCCAGGACAGAGGGCCAAGGGTCCTGCTCACTGCCCACCTTAATCTGCGCAGCCGCAGGTGGGGCCCAGCACCTGGCAGCCCCTGGCCGCCCTCTGGGGCCTGTGTTCCCAGCAGCCGAGAGCCGAGCCGGGCCTGGCCGAGGCTGGAGGCTTCCCGCCCCAGGATCTCCTCCAACCCGCGGGACCATGTTGCGATGGACGATGTGGAGGAGGCGGAGGCTGCCCGTTCTACCCGCGCCCTCGGGCCACGGCTCCCGCTGCTGCGGTGGGCAGTGCTCCTGGCCCCACAGGCTTCCCCTGACAGTGCCTGGGCGTTGAATGGGCCAGCTGTCTCCAGAGGGCCTCCCGGCCGTCCATCTGCCCCGTCAGGGAGACTTGCTGGCATCTCAGAGAGGCCTGGCCCTGGGTGTGCGCATCCTGAGACTGCTGGGGGAGCAGAGGTTGAGTTGAAAGTAGGACAGGGCGCCCCAACAGCACAGAGCCCCCCGGAGGCGGCCTCTGCTTGTCTCAGGTCCCTGACACTTTAGGGGTCCTTGACAGCAGGCTCTGATGGCTACTTCTGTGTTGGGCAGGAAGAAACCTTGCTTGCTAGGTGGGTGGCTTCTGGCTGCAGAAAACCCTAGAGCTATTGGGAATGGGGTGAGGAGGCAGCTCCAGTCCAGTTGCACATGGGAGGTTTGCTCAGAAAACTGGACAGTGTGAGAGTCACCAGTACTTCCTGTGATGATGAAACTGAGCTGAGTGCCTTTAAAAAAGACCACCACCGGCACTGTGGTGTAGTGGGTTAAGCCACTGCCGAAGATGCTGGCATCCCACATGGGCACCGGTTTGAGCCCGGGCTGCTCCACTTCCAATCCAGCTGCTGGCCAACGCACCTGAGAAAGCAGTGGAAGATGGCTCAAGTGCTTGGACCCCTGCACCCATGTGGGAGACCTGATTGGAGCTCCAGGCTCCTGGCTTTGGCCTGGCCCAGCCCCAGCTGTTGTGGCCATTTGGGGAGTGAACCAGTGGATGGGAGATCTCGCCCCCCCAAAAAAGTCTTTCAAATAAATACAAGTAAATATATTTTTTTTGACAGGCAGAGTGGACAGTGAGAGAGAGAGAGACAGAGAGAAAGGTCTTCCTTTGCTGTTGGTTCACCCTCCAATGGCTGCCACGGCTGGCGCACTGCGGCCGGCGCACTGCACTGATCCGATGGCAGGAGCCAGGTACTTATCCTGGTCTCCCATGGGGTGCAGGGCCCAAGTAGTTGGGCCATCCTCCACTGCATTCCCTGGCCACAGCAGAGAGCTGGCCTGGAAGAGGGGCAATTGGGACAGAATCTGGCACCCCGACCGGGACTAGAACCCGGTGTGCCGGCGCCGCAAGGCGGAGGATCAGCCTAGTGAGCCACAGCGCCGGCCCAAGTAAATATTTTTTAAAAATTAAAAAGACCTTTGCACGAAGCAGGAGTCTTTTTTGGGAGTTCCCACCTCCCAACCCCCAATGGCAAGCCTTTACGTGTCCCAGGACCTCACTCTCACCACATTTTATGGTCACAAGACCAGGATTCTCCACCCAGTGCTCAGCGTGGAGCCTGGCTTAAAGCAGCTGCCCAGAAGTCTGCTGTGTGTGGATGAGTGGGGGGCTCCAGACGTGTCTCACGTTCTGCCCTGCTTGGTGTCCTGCCACCTGTGACCAGAGGCCTGGCTTTCTCAAGAAGCCTGACCCTTGGATGAGACTGAGCCCTTGGCAAACAAGCATCACGCCGAGCTATACAGACACCCAGACAGACAGACACAGGGACGCCACTGAGCCAGGGGCCAGTTTTATTAGCTTCCAGCAGGACGGTAGGGCACGTTTCATGCAGAGTAAATGTGTGTCTTCCCTGCCACCGGAAGGGCAGCACTTCCACTGCCAGCGCCTTCACGGGCACACCGAGGCGTGAGCATCAAGGGGAACCCTCGAGATATTCTGCGTGGGGGACGGTTGGGATCACTACTGGGGGTGGAGGTGAGACAGTGGGCAGCTGAGGGCCCCTGGGCCCTTGAGTCTTCAGAGGTTCAGGGACCACAGGACCTGGGTCCTTTGCAGGTGCTGGCACCAGAGGATCTTGATCCTGCAGAGGCACTGGGATGACAGGAGCTGGCGTCTTCACAGGCTCGGGGACCAGGGGACCCAGGTCCTTGGCCGTGACAGTGGGGGCTGGTGCCTTCACAGGCTCGGGGACCAGGGGACCTGGGTCCTTGGCCGTGACAGTGGGGGCTGGTGCCTTCACAGGCTCGGGGACCAGGGGACCTGGGTCCTTGGCCGTGACAGTGGGGGCTGGTGCCTTTACAGGCTCGGGGACCAGGGGACCCAGGTCCTTGGACATGACAGTGGGGGTCTGCATCTTCATGGGCTCGGAGAACAGGGGGCCTGGGTCCTTGGCCATGACAGTGAGGGCCTGTGCCTTCACAGGCTCGGGGACCAGGGGACCCAGGTCCTTGGCCGTGACAGTGGGGGCTGGTGCCTTCACAGGCTCAGGGACCAGGGGACCCAGGTCCTTGGCCGTGACACTGGGGGCCTGTGTCTTCACAGGTTCGGGGACCAGGGGACCCAGGTCTTTGGCTGTGACAGTGGGGGCCTGTGCCTTCACAGGCTCGGGGACCAGGGGACCCAGGTCTTTGGCTATGACAGTGGGGGCCAGCGTCTTCACAGGCTCGGAGACCAGGGGGCCCGGGTCCTTGGCCATGATAGTGGGGACCTGCGTCTTCATGGGCTCAGGGACCATGGGACCCGGGTCCTTGGCTGTGACAGTGGGGGCCGGTGTCTTCATGGGCTCGGAGACCAGGGGACCCAGGTCCTTGGCTGTGACAGTGGGGGCCGGTGTCTTCATGGGCTCAGAGACCAGGGGACCCTGCTTTTCTGCAGGTGCCACCGCCACAGCATCGTGACCCTTCAGAAGCTCTGGGATGCCTACTCCCTGGTCCTTGACTGGCTCGGGTGCCACTAAACCTCGCTCCTTCATAGGCTCAGAGGCCACGGGGTCTTCCTTCTTCACAGGTGCTGGGAGCACAGCACCTGGAGCCTGCAGGTTCCCTGGGACCAGGGGCTCTTGATCCTTGAGAGGTGCTGAGCCCCTGGGACCCTGATCTTTGGCAGGTGCTGGAACCACAGGACCCTGAGTCTTCACAGGCTCAGGGCCTGCAGGCTGGCGATCTGCGGGCGAATTGTGACGTGCTGAACTGCTCTGTAACTCCGCCACAGCACTGACTTGATCTTTGAGGCACTGGGCCCGGGGAAGCTTGGTCCTTGACTGGTGCTGAGATCACAGAGCCCTCCTTCTTTAGGGGCCCAGGAACCGCACGATCTTGATCCTTGCCTGGTGCTGGGACCACAGGACCTTGATTCTTGCTTGAGTCACTGGCAGGTTGGACCAGGCTCCTGCAAAGGAGAGAGAGGCGGTCACTGTGAGGGCAGAGCTCAGGCCAGGGCCAGGGCAGAGCACAGATTGCCCGGTGGAGCCTGGGCAGCGCAGCTCTGGCCGCAGAGCCAGAAGGAGCATCTGATTTCTGTCTTCTTGGTACAGAACGTGGGATGGGGGTGGGGCAGGCTCAGGGATGGGTCATTCAATGTGCTTGCCAATTGATTATAACCTGCACGGTGGCACAGGGTGTGTGGGTACGCCCCGGTGAGGACGGCAGGACTGCAGCTGGCCTCAGAGGCGTCCAGGGGCACTCCACCCAGGCCCCCACGCCTTCCCGCAGGGTCGTTGGGCCCCCATCTCAGCTGCTCGCTCAGATGCCCCTGCGGGTCAGGCTGCTCTTTCCTAGTCCGTCTGGAGTTCCAAGTCACCTTCCCCTCCTCCACCCCTGTTAAGGGCGAGGGTCCACCACATCCTAGGACTCGGGGAAGCCCCTCTGCTCCCCTTCCCAGGCAGAGGGGAAAAGTGCTCCATCGCGATGTCGTATGGAAGGGCTGGCACACACTCAAAACCAGCCTGGCTTTCCATTCGTTTCATGATTATAATAATGCACCCCGTTACTGCCTGCAGCACCCCTACTGCCCCTCCCTGCCATTGACAGGCAACTGGCTGGGGCTCGCCCTCAGGCAGTGGCAAGGCCCCGGCCCCTCACTCCCTCCCCACTCCCTGTTCCCCCTCCTCAGACCCTTGCCCCCACAAGCTCCTGGGCTCTTGGGCTGACCTCGCTGCAGTCACAGGTTCAAGTCTCTCACCAGCTCCTCCCCATCTGTTCTACCTCCCCTGCTACAGCCACACAGCCTGGTCCTCAGCCCATCCACATTATGGGGAGCTTGTGACAGCCCTGACACCCACGGGCAAACACTGGTGCGCCCCCTGGCTGACGGCTACACCCTCATGGGCAGGCCACTGAAAGTCATCATTGAGGAATGGCCTGGCTCAGCCAGCGTCACGAGCCCTTGACACCCTTGGTACACCCCGCTTTCCACACCCTTCTCTTCATAGCTCACGTCAGCCACACAGCGCCCAGCAAAGCACGCAGGGAGCACGCCGCGACCCCTTGCCGCCAGATGAAGAAATGGAGGTGCTGAGAGGGACTGCAGTCCGGGGCCAGGGCTCTTCCCCGAGGAGCTGTGACTACTGCTCCCTTTACACCTGCTAGCAATGCAATCCATACGCCAAAAACCACCCGAGCAGTTTTCCCGTTCCTGTCAGGCTTCTGAGCAGGAGCCGCTTGGTGACACTCTCTTAGCTCATCACGGTTTCATGCCCTGGGCCTCGAGTTTGCCATCTGTTCACTGGGTACAGGGATATCTGCTCAGAGGTTTAGGATGACTACAGGCTGTGCACATCGGGCACCTTGTCCCAAGAACTTGTTAGGGGTTATTAGGGCTGTGTACTCAGAAGTGAAATGACACAGTTTTAGCTTTTTCTTTTCCTGCCCTGCCATCATCCTGATCTAAGAGCTTTTCCCTGTGGTCAGTGCCCTGAGCCAGCCGGGCCCAGTGGCACGGGCAGCCTGTCCTCTCGGCTTCCTCACAGGGACCACGACGCGGGAGCAAGGCTGGCTGCCATCGCTAGGACTTCGTGTTGGAGGAGCGAGCTGGGCAGGGCTGGCAGGAGCACGCAGAGTCCAAGGATGGCATTAGCACCTCTCCAGGCCGGAGCAACAAAGTGAAAAGCGAATCAGAACAGAATCAAGCAGAAAATCGATGGACTGTGTCCTCTGGGGTTGGCAGCTGAGCTGGCTGAGGTCATCCTGACGGGCGAGGGAGCTGAGATGGGACAAGAGAAGGTGACTGGGGCTCAGCTCGGTCTCAGGGGCTTACGCTGCAGACCCCACCCCACCGGCAGGATTTGGGACCAGAGCCCCTGCGGGCGTGCAGAGCATGAAGAAGGCCAGCCCGTACACACATTTCCCTGAGTGTGCGCAGCACCATCTCCCATGCCAGGCCCTGAATTCCTACTGAATGAGCCGGCTGTGAGCACAGCCCGAACATGTGTGGAAACATGATCCCACACTGCTGTGTTTAGTAAACTTTCTTCCTTGGCAGGTAAATGTCTTCAGTCATGGGAGGGCTTAGAATTAAGATAGAAATGGTGAATAAAAGCAAACCTCAAATACCACTTTTTTGTATTAAGTTTAGGAACAATATGTATAGATGCAGTTCAGAAGTATTCAAAATGTTTAACATAACTGGGCATATTAGACTGTCTAACGGATTAGCTTTGTGATTTAATATAAAATGAGTAATGGGGGGGCAGCATTGTGGCAGAGTGGGTTAAGCTGTCGCCTAGCTGCCAGCATCCCCTAGGAGCACCGGTTCTCGTCCCGGTGGTTCCACTTCTGATCCAGCTCCCTGCAAATATGCCTGGGAAGGCAGCAGAACATGGCGCAGATACCTGGGCCCCTGCCATCCACATGGGAGACCTTGTGGTGATCACACAGACGCCGGCCTCTCAGGCGGGAGGTTGGGGAGGGGAGACTGGCAGAGCCCTGAGGGACCGAGGGAGGGACAGTCAGAGAGGGCTTTTCCTCGGGCACAGAGAAACTCACGGGGGCTGCTTCAGTTTTAGAAGTGAATAGTTAATCTATAAAAGTTTCAAAACAAAAAACAACACCTGGTAACATGTAAATCTCTCGTGAGGAGCATTGTATAATGTCCCCATTCCCCTAAACGCCTTCTATTATAAGTCATTGAAAATAAGCACGGAAGTATGGTGACAAGGCCGCCCCTCAGAGGGGAAGCTGGGTGCATGAGATCAGCTGCTCTTGGGCTCAGCCCACCTGCACAGCCTGGGCCAGCTGTGAGTCCTCCCTGGCACAGGACACAGGCCCTTTCACTCCCAGCCTGAGTGCCTGAAAGCCCTAACCCCTCAGAAACTGGAAAGATCTACCAGGCCTGCCTGAGAGGCCTTGGGCAACTGGTCAACCACAAGGACCTCTGTTTCCCCATCTGTAAAATGGGGGTAACGAATTCTGGTTCTTGCTACCTGTGGAGCACCAGGGGGTGTTCTGTGAGCGAACCACAGTCCTAGCTGCAGTACTGGTTTGCTTCCGGGCGCCTGGAGACAGGCAGGCTTCCTGCAGCCCCTCCTCCCATAATCCTCTCTTGCTATTTTGTGTTCTCCTGGGACTGCGGCTCTCATTCTGCTCCATGGACTGCCCTCTTTCACCGCTTTTCCCTGTGGAAGCCTGCATTGTGCTTGGAGGCTCGGCTCAGGTCTCACCGCCGCCTCAAAGGGTCTCTCCACACCGTTTGGATCTCATTTCCCCGGCAGCATGATTTCACAGTCTCTCTCCCCGCATTTAGAGAGCTCCCGATGCTTGATGAGACGAGACGTGAGCTGCCTGAGGGCAGGCTGCCCTGCTCCCGCGAGGCCGATGCCATCCACAGCACAGCGGGCCCAGAGGAAAGAAATGATTGCTGCTGGAACTTGACGCACGGTCCCTCCATGCCCCCTCGCCCACGAGGGCCCCCTCGCCCATGAGGGCTCCCTCGCCCTCAAAACCCTCAGTCTGTCCTTCAAGTCATGGCTATTTCTGCTCAGAACAGTCATTTCTTGATAATCCCTTGACCCCTGCTTCCCTCCCTTCCTCCACAGCCCCAAGCCACCCTCTAGGCTACTGTCACAGCCTCCCAGCGGGGGTCCCCGCACCAGTTCTCCCAGCTCTCTCCTGTCCACCCTCTCACAGAAATCAGAACAGTTGAGACGGCAAACCCGATCCTGTCCCATCCCTGCTGACAGCGGGCCCGTGGCTGCTCCTTGCATTCAGAGTAAAGAGTAAGGTCCCTTATACCACACAACTCACTGCCGCATGCCGCGAGCCCAGCCCTTGGCCACCGGGCCTCGGCTCGCCCCACTCCTTCCCACGCACAGCTTTCCCGCATGCTGTCCTCTGCCTGGAAGACTCCCTGGCTCCCTCTGCACCTGGCCTGCTCACCCCGCAGGCCTCTTCCAAGAGCGCAGCCCCACAGTGCGGCCCAGGCCCCTGCTGCGAGCTCTCCCTTAGCCCAGCTACCTGCTTGGGTTCTTTTGGATTAAGGGTACCCCGCTAGGCTGAGGGGTTCAGAGTGCACAGACCTTGACTTGCACAGCATGGCCCACTCTGGGCCCAACCCTCAGACACCTCACATTCTGCCTGCTCCCTGTTTCCAAGGAGACAGCCGACGCCTGCTGAGCACGCGCTGACAGTCTGGAAGCAGATGACAGAGCCCTGCCCAGACCACCGGGAGACAAGACTTCCTTCCCTCCCCCATCCTGCCCCGGCCCACAATTCTGGTCTTACAATCACCCTGCATGCTATTTCGCCTTCCCACATCGTCTCCCCTTGCACCATGGGACTTGGGCAGTGCGCCCCGCTTAGGGCCCTGTCCTTGCAGCCCTGCCTTCTGGAGCGGGAAGCCCGGATGGAGACAGCAAGCTGCATTCAGCAAGCAGCGGCTCTGTGAAAAGCGGGCATTCTCTAACCTACAAGATTTCATGCAGCGTCAAAACAGCCTGATAGGAAGCAGGCCCTGGCTGTCGCCCTGGCGTGCTCCTGGTATCCAGGTGACGGTTAGTCAGTGTCAGTTCCGGGCAAGTGATGCTCCCATAGCCACACCATCAACAGGCCACAGGTCCAGGACTGAACCCTGGGCCTCTGGACATCCCCGGGGCAGGTGGCAGGCACGGAGCCTGGGGGGCAGGAAGGGTGACAGCGAACAGCGTGAGCTCATGGCTTTGTTTCTGCCTAGGTT